TAAATCTGCCTTCTAAAAGCTAAAATTAGCAATGTAGTGGCTAAAAGCTAACTGGAGCAAATGAGCTCAAGTAGATTTCAAAGAACAATATTTTGAAGGAGTTAAACATCTTTCAATGTATTTTTTTTTTCTTAAATATAAATAAAAGTCTATATTTTTAAAAGTATATAAGTTACAAAAGTCATAGCACATTCTTCTGGACTGAGCTGAGTGTTCTGACATTTGAATGGTAAAACTAGAACAAAGTATGAGGAAGTAATTTGATATTAAATAAACATACGGTAGAAACAATAAACAGAACAACAATAAATTCAGCTTTACGCTTTAAAAGAAAACGTTTCCTCTGACTTTTATCCCTTTTCCTCTCAGTCTCTGAGCGTCTGACTGTGTTTTCATCTGCTCAGCTGCTTTTCTTTCTCAGTCCTGGAATCATTACCACAAGACACGGTTTCAGTATATAGTATTTACATGAGCGGTGCAAACAGAAACAGTCTGAGCGGGATATAAATATAAGCCACTTGAGATGTGCCCCGGGTCCTTTTTATTTTATTTCAATTTTTTTTAAATAAACGACTCTGCTCTTCACATTATCTTGAAATTGAAGAGAGGCACATTCAGCTGCAATCAAAAAGTATTTTTGATGAAAGGTTTTTGTTATATGAAAATTATAAAACAGCTGTGGGAGGTACGAAAGCAATCAGATTGGAGGACTGAGCCGTTCATTTCCCTTCACTAGAGAGCAAAACTGGAATATCTGAGTAAATTAGAAAGAACTAATCTGAGCTCAGTTAAGAACTTTCCCCTATGGTTCTTGTGTTTTTAAAGGATGTTAGAATGGATGTTTTAAGCTTGCAGAGCCCAACTCTCATCTGTAATCAGCTGCAGACAGTTTTAACTCACAGCTCTGATGGCTTATCTGCTCGCAGGACGATAACAGGCCAAGATAAATCGAGGTAATAAAGAAAGCGTCGAAATCCAATCTCGATCTGTCTTTATTAAACAACCCGTCTGAAGTTTGTTGTGTTCAGATGTGACTGTTTCCGTCTGATAAAGCTCTAACTAAAGTGAAACTGCTTTTAATCTCTCTCCTGTTCGCTCAGGATCTGGGACTCCAGGGATCGTCGCTCAACGACATTTTGTACAAGAACGCAGCTTTTCTCAACCTGGTGGACCCCATCTCTCACGAGCTCCTGCTCAGCCTCGCCCGGGACCTGCAGTGTCCAAAACGGGTAAGAACCTGCAGATGCAGATGTTGCAAATGTTATATTCATGTTGATTGTTCTAAAACAGCTGCTTGGACAGGCCCTGCAATTCAAACATCATCGATCTGCAGCTTGTCGCCATTTTTATAACAATTCTCATGCTGCAATGACAGAACGTAATAACAATAATGAAAATGTGCGTGTTTGTTAGTTTGTCTGTCTGTTAGCAAAATAACTCATGAGCCACTGGGCGGATTTTATTGAAACTTTTACAAACATAATCATCCGATGTACATCAGTCATAACTCATCGCTATAACTCAGTTAATTTTACAGATATTGAGCAAAAATTTGATGTGGTAGTAGCTGAGAGTTATCTCCATCACACTTTGTTTAAAGCTGTGCCATTAACCGTTGTAGTCCTGTCTGTTTGTTTGTTTGTTTAATTATTCATGAACCAGTGGGTGGATTTTAATACAATTCCCTTAAATAAATCGTTGGATGTACATATGCAACGATTCAAGATGTCTGCCACCTCTAACTCACCTTCACCTGTTAGATTTAAAGACATGAACTCTGAGTGTTAGCAGGTCATGTGAGAACTTTGTTTCAAACTTTGTCCTGCAAGGCAGCGGGTGACGTGCGTGCTTGAAGGAAGAGTATCATTCAGTTCATCCGTCCATTCATATCCTTTACCCGCTTCTCCTTTCCGGGTTGCAGGGAGCTGGTGCTCCAGCAGTCTCTGTGGAGAGACGGAGGACACCCTGGACAGGTCGCAAGTCCATCACAGGGACACATAGAGACAACCATTCACACTCTCACTCACACCTGGGGACAATTTAGAGTCACCACTTAGTCTAACATGCATGTTTTTGGCCTGTGAGAGAAAACCGGAGTCTCCGGAAAGAACATGCAAACACCACCCAGAAAGGTCCCAGCTGGGAGTTGATCCTGCGACCTTCTTGTGGAAAGGCAACAGTTCTAACCACTGTTCCATTGTGCTGCCTTCATACAGTGCATATTAAACTGTGTGAAGTTATGAACTGAAGGGGCCGAACAGTGTTTGTTGTTCTGGTTTTTATGTTGCGCAGTGCTGCAGGACGCCTTTAACACAATATGAAGTGTGCATCCGCTGTTCTTTAACCCTTACATGTTTACCCTTTTTTTGTTTTAATTGGATTTATAGGTAATCATGAAGTGTGCAGTGTTACTGTGCTGAAGAAAACAGTTGGCCCAGTCAGAACCATCAAGGCTTCTGGATCTTACACAAACCAGGAGGGCAATTTGAGGACTTTGACAATTGGCTGTTGGCCAGTGGAAGTCTATTTTTAAGCCTTACTGTTGATTAAGGACTGTGGGAAAGGTGTGAGAAAGAATAACAGAAGCCATCAAAGTTATTTATGATGTTGGTAAAAAAATTAAATTTAAATTAAATAGATACTTTCATGCCAGTATTTAAAACTAAGACACCTTGTGCTGAGAAACACAGAACTGCAGCAATTTTAGTCAATGTTTAATGAAACATTGTGCGCAGTGTCATGCAACATGATAATAAACTTGATCTGTTAGTGCTTACAGCATGTGTATCAAGCCCGGGGGCCAAATGTGGCCCTCGTTGACATCTTATCTGGCCCCCAAGATGATATGTGAAACAAAAAAATACTTTTATCATTTGATTTATTTTCAGTAATCTTGATTATGATGTTGAAAGCACAACAGAGAGCGTCAACTGAGACCAATCAAACTCTTGAGGAACCTGCAACCAAGAAAAGATGTTGGGTGCCTGACTTGAGTTAATTCTGAAATTGGCCCTCAGTTCGAAAAATGTTTTGATTTTGGCCCCCTTGTATAAGTGAGTTGGACACCCCAGCTTAGAGTGTATGTTGTGTCTGACTGTGAGCTGCCACCACAACAAACTTTAGCTTAATTTCTGGAAAGTTCACTGAAGTTTAGCCAATTTAGTGTTTTCTACGGTGGCCCAGCTGTGACAAACATTTTGAAATGAGTTAATACTAAAAGAAAACCATTTGTAAAAGTCAAATCAGTGGTTAATTTCTGAAAGCTTTATCAAAATCAGTTGTGATTCATGGGATATTTTGCTAACAGTGCAAACAAACAGACACATATAGATATGGGCAAAACCCTTATTGCTCCAACAGTGCCTTTGGCAAACCAATAAAATTCATTGTAAACTAAGTACAGCAGTAATAATTCTGATTTTTTTTTTTTTTTTTTTTTACATTACTTCTTTTTATCCGTTTTTATGAGCTGCACTTGGTGAGAAAATACAAGTGGTTATTTGAGAAATGAATGGCACTTTGTCCAGACTGGCAGTGGGCTCACTGGTTTGCAGCGCGGCATACAAATCAAGCACGTTTAAAATTCCAGATCCATTTTCAATCTGAAGTATGTGAGAACAGCTCAGAGTGGCTGCGAGACACAAACCCAGCAACTTCAGGTGCAAAGTTAAGATTTCAAAAGGGAATTTTCAAAAGCCTTCAAAAATAGGGTCGCAACAAACCGATTTTTAACACGTGCCAGATAAATACCTGCACGAAGCTCCCGTCTTTTCTCTTGGTGCAACAAAATGTCAGGAGTTAGGAAAAGAAAAGTGAGGCTCTGGCAGCAGCGCGCTCCTGACGAGTTGGCGACCCGTGGCGAGTCAAACGTGACGAGGATGTAAAAGAGGCTTAGGGCTGATTTTTTTCAGGCCTGGCTGCTTCTTCTCCATCCTGTTTCTTTCCAACACACTGATATTTATTCAGATCATACAGTCGAAGACGTACGGTGAGCTAAAACAAGCATCGTTCGTGAACCGTGAGTCATCAGTTTGAGACGGTTAATTCAGTGCATGTATTAGTTTGATGCTCTCAGGTTTGGAGAGCCGTGATTAATAGTGCTTAAGAGTTACAGTACTGCATGGGGGGGGGGGGGGG